GCCCCCTTGGGGGCCCCCAAGGGGGCCCCCGCGGGGATCCCATTGGGGAGCCCATTGGGGTGCCCACTGGGGAGCCCATTGGGGAGCCCATTGGGGAGGCCATTGGGGAGGCCCACGGGGGCCCCCGCAGGTACCCCCATGGGGGCCCCTGTGGGGGGCCCCTCGGCATCATCCAACCCCAAAGGATCGGATTTGTCCCCAAGGCTCAGCATGTTGGTGGTGAGGAGGCCCCCCAGAACTGCAAGGGCCAGGGCTGAGATAGCAGCAAGGCCTACGCCTGCAGCGAAGCTGCGGCTGCGGCGGGGTGCTGCTGCTGCTGCTTCCGCTTCTGCTGCTGCTGCTGCTGCAGTGTCCACAGAGGAGACCACCGTGGCCTCCTCAGCCGCCAGCTGCGACGCGTCGCCAGCTGCTGCTGCACCCTCAGGCCCCTGCTCTGCTGCTGCTGCATCCGCAGCGTAGCCAGGGAAGGGAGAAGCCATTCCGGGAAAAAAAGAAGGAAAGGAAAACAAAGGAGGAAATGAAACGACAAATTAAAGGAAATCTGAGAACCAATCGCCGCGCAGAAACACCCCGGAGAGCAGCAGCAGCAGCTGCAGCACGCAGGGAGCAGCGAGAGGATGGAGCGAAGCACCACAGCAGCGGGGCAACAGCAGCAGCAGCAGCAGCAGCAGGGAGAGAGCAGCTCGAAATCAAGTGATCTATTCTGATTTTTGCTTATATGGACTCTTTTATTTGTTTTGATCCTCTCAAATCCAAATTTCAACTCTGGCGCTTAACTCAATCCGGGTGTACGTACACCCCAGCGCCTCCCCGCCCCGCTCAGCAGCTCCTCGTGTGTACAGGCAGCTCCTCTTGTGTGTATCCCCCGCTGCAGCTCTCCGGACCTCTTTTTCTTCATTTGACTATTTATTTCAGTTTAAATTTCATTTTGTTACTCAAAAGCAGTAAAAATTGCACAAAATAAACAGAGACGCGCCCAAACCTAGTCCGTGCCGCGACCCTTGCGGAGACGCCGCTTCCACCAACCCCAATCTTCCAAACCCTAAACCCTAAACCCTAAACCCTAAACCCTAAATCTAGCCAGTGCAGTGCACTCAAAGCAGCCTTAAAAGCGGAAATAAACAGTTGGGGCCTCATCTTACAATGATTGAACGGTCTAAAAGCTCGCCTTCCCCTCGAACTGCAGGCTCGAAGTGCAGGGTTTGGGATTTAGGGTTTGGCATTGCGTAAGGCTTTGTATGGACCTTCTGAGGGTTTAGGGTTAGCATTGCAGCAGCAATTAGCTGCAGCAACACAGCAGCAAGCCCGAAGAACGCTCTGCTGCACCTGGTGCAGCAGCCGGCTGCGGCAGCGTCGCCCCACAGCAGCAGCTGGCTGCAGCACCTTCCTCTCCGGTGCTGCTGCTGCAGCTCCCACCTTTTACCTGTGCTGCATTTCTCCCCGCTAGGCACCTAAGTTGCTGCAGGAGCTGCTGCTGCTGCTGCTGCTGCGGAAGCTGGGGAATTGAGGACCCACTGGAGCCGCGGGACTGTCGCTGCAGCAGCAGCAGCAGCAGCAGAGCTCCAAGGACTTT